ATAGATAGATAGATAGATAGATAGATAGATAGATAGATAGATAGATAGATAGATAGATAGAGGGTACAGGGTGAGTTGAAGATGAAGGGGTCATATCTGGAGAATCAAGTTAAGGGGTGAGAGAGGAATATACTAGGAGAAGGAGAAAGGGAGAGGTAGAATGGGGTAAATTATCCCACAAAAAAAAAAAGAAAAAAAAAGGTTCTTACAGTGGAGGGGAAATGGGGGAAGGAGAGAGGGAATGAGTGAATCTTATTCTCATAGAATTTGACTTAAGGAGGGAATAACATACACACTCAATTGCGTGTGCAAATCTGTTTTACCCTACAGGAAAATAGCGGGGGAAAGGGGACAAGAGAGTAGGGGAATGATAGAGAGGAGGGCAGATTGGGAAAGGGGGTAATCAGAAGCAAATACTTCTGAGGAGGGACAGGGTCAAAAGAAAGAATAGAGTAAATGGGGGGGTGGGTTAGGATTAAGGGAAATAGAGTTAGTTTTTCACAGCATGTCTACTATGGAAGTGTTTTGCATAACTGCACATATATAACCTATATTTAGTTGCTTGCCTTATCAATGAGGGTGGGTGGCGAGGGAGGAAGGGAGAAAATTTGGAACCCAAAGTTTTAAAAACACATGTTTAAAAAATGTTTTCACATGCAACTGGGAAATAACAAATACAGGAAATGGGGTACAGAAATTCATCCTGCCCTACAGGAAAATTGAAGGGGAAGGGGATAAGAGAAGGGGGGGGAGAGATAGAAGGGAAGGCAGACTAGGGGAAGGGGTATTTAGAATGCATGCCATCTTGGGGTGGGGGGAGGGGCAAGATGGGATGAAAATTTGGAACTCAAAATCTTGTGGAAGTAAATGTTGAAAACAAAAAAATAAATAAAAATTACCATAAAAAAAAGAAAAGAATGGTTAGGTCCCCTTACATTTCTTCTTCTCCAAGTGAAACAGCCTCAATTCCCTGAACACTAGGGGATGACTTTGGGTGATAGGTGAATATTTGGGTTTGCCAAGAGACCTCGCTGATGGTTGATGATGAGTTTTTGTTCTGGGATTTACGAAAGGCTACTCCGAAAGCTTGTTTCATTCGGACCCAGGAGACTGTATTGGAGTGTATTAGAATTCCCCAGGAGTGGGGGTGGCAGGACTAGGAGGGAGAGGGGAATAAAGGAAGGTATAGTTCCTGTCCTAGAATGTCCTTCCTTCTTGCCTCTTAGAGTCTGGGATTGGAGTTGTCTTTCTAAGTAGAACTGGTCTGAAATGAATCTGCCTTGTATCTCAGGCTGTGTATCCCTGGAAAGTGAAAGAATCAGAAGCCATGTAGAGCTAAGATGGCGGCAGGGACCTACGAGGACATCTAGTCCAGCCCTGTCTTTTACAGATGAGGACACTGAGGCCTACAGAGGTGAAACTAGTCAGTGGGAGAGATAGGATTTGAACCCAAGTCCTCCAGTGCTTGTTTTCATTACAAATGGGCAAAAGAAGGGTTGACCTGTCCTAGGCTGCGGGCCTGTCTCCCAACCGTCAGCCATGTGTTTTGGTACCTTTGGAATGGGAAAGTTACAGAGTTCATCAGAGCAGGGTCCACTGCCAATCTTTCTTTGAATCTCCAGCACATAGGCCATTTGCAGGTGGTAACTGCTTAATAAATGTTAACGTCAATGAAATTGATTTCAGTATGGACAGCTAATTAATACCTCTTCTTTATTTTTTCAGCCAAAGACAAGGTTTATTAGAACATCCATCATATTGGGCAGACTCTTAAGGAGTCTGAACATTAGTAAGCTATTAGCTAGATTATGAGAATCTGAGCAGTGGCTAGATTATAAGAATCCCAGCAGTGGCTAGATTTTAAGAATCTAAGCCAATACCTTTTCTTTAATGTACTGGGTGGCAGCAAAAGTCAGAGCTGGAGGAGGCAGGTTTAGTAGCTTAAAAGGCAACCTGAAATTGAAGGTCAAGATTAGGATTTTAGTATGTGAGCATATACATATACAATGCAGTGGAGAGAGTGTTGGGTTTAGAGACAAGAATGCCTGGGTTCAAATCTTGTCTGTTACACTTAGCAGCTCTATGACCAAGGGCAAGTTGCAGCTTCTCTGAGCCTCAGTTTCCCAGCCTGTAAAATGGACCTAATAACCACTTCACTGTTTACCTCATAGGGCTGTTGTGAGGATTGAAAGATTATGTAGGTAAAACACTTTGAAAATCTCAAAACATGTTATAAATGGCAAATTTATAACATTTTATATCTAAATGTCAGCCTTAGACCCTGGACAAGTCTCTAAGCCTACAAGTTGCAGAGAAGGTAAGAGCCAGCTGGATAGACCAGTGGCTAGGGCACTGGGCCTGAAGTCAGGAAGACCTGAATTCAAATATAGCCTCAAACACTTACTAGCTGAGTGACCCCAGACATATCACTCAGCCTCTGTCTGCCTCAGGTTCCTCATCTATAAAATGGGCATAATGAAACTTGTAGGGCCTTTTGCATTGGAGTGTTCTGGGGCTCAAATGAGATGCAGTAATGTTAGAAGTGCAGGCTGTTAGTGACTGTCAATATTTTTCTCTGCACACAATGTACATACAGGTACATAGCTTGCTTGCTGTCCTTGTCAGATTAGAAAAAAATATATATGCACACATATATGTATATGTGTATATGTATATATGTATGTATGTGTATACATATTAATGAAAGTAGGGAGGACTTAGTTTACTGTCTGAAAGGCTAAAGTATGTGTCTGTGTGTATGTGTGTGTATACTTTAGCCTATATGTATGTATATATATAAATATATACATACATATACATATACCTTTACATAAATATATACACACACACACACACACTTTATCCTTTCAGACAGTAAACTAAGCCCTCCCTACTTTCATTAACAGGGATCCTTTGGCTCCCTGGGGCTGTCATTGTCTAAAAACCTGACCAACGTGTCTTTGTTTGGTACGGGAATTTTTTCTCATTTCGAGTCTGTCAGGTTCCATCCTTGCTGATATTTGGATTGGAACTTTAAACGGCTGGACTGTTGAACTGTTATGGGCAAATATTTTTGTTCTCCTGAGGAAGTCCTGGACCAGGTATCCTAATTGGCAGAAATTCAGATTAAACAAATATCATTTCTCTAGTCCACTAAAAAGTAATGTTAGCTTGGGAGAAGTCACACTTCCCCGCCCTCCCCCCATCATTTTATCATGGTCAGGGGTCCCCTAAAAGAGACTAATTTTTCTGTTTTTCCTCCTTCCCCTCTCTTTCAAATAATACAATTTTCTCTCATTGAGAAGAATTTGCTCTCTCTCTGTCTCTCTCTCTCTCTCTCTCTCTCTCCCCCTTCCTTCCCTTTTTCCTTCCTTCCTTCTTTCTTTCTTTTTTGTTGCTATCCAATTTTCTGTCACTCAGAAGTTTTGAGGACCTAGGATCATAGGCTCCAGCAGCTGGAAGGGAAGATGAAGGCTATCCAGTCTGACCCTCTCATTCTATGCCAAGGAAACAGAGGCACAGGGAAGGGAACAAGTTTTTATTAAGCACTCACTATCTGCTGCGCCTTGTGCTAAGCACCTTACAAATATCTCATTTGATTTGGCACAAAGTATAGGGGTTATTTTTAAAAACAATATTTTAGTTTTTTATTAATGTCTTTTGTTTTTGTATCACATTTGTTTCCAATTTTATACCCTGATCCCTTGACACATATCAATGGACTCTTCCCTTAAAATAAAGATGAAAAAATGTCCCACAAAACCATCTGACTGTGTCTGACAGGACACATCACGTTCCACCCCTGTGGGCTCCATCTTGGCAATGAATGAAGGGAAGTTCACTTTCTCGTCTCTTCCCTGAGGTCAAGCTTGGCCATTTACGATCGCCCAGTGCTCAATTTCATTTTCTTGATCTTTCCATTTACTTTGTTATAGTCAGTTTGTGTTTTGTTTTCTGGCTGTGCTTCCTTCGCTCTGCATCTGTGCAGGTAAGTCTCCCCATGCTTTTCTGAATTCTTCACATTCAGCATTTCTTTTGGTCCAGTAATTCTCATCATTCCACTTGCTAACAACTTGTTTGTCTGGTTCCCAGCTGATAGACACCACTTTGTTTCCTGTTCTTGGTTGCAATAGTTTCATGTCAAGATGAGAACTGGGTAGAAGGTGGGGTTGAAGGAGACCTCAATCCCTCCTCTGCCCCCAACCGTGCCTGCCATGTTTATCCGTGAGAACCTGGGTATCCACGTTAGAGTGTGACTGTAAATGTCTCCTGTCTTTTTTTTTTTTGCCTAGAATAAAGAAGTGACATGTAAACGAGAGAAGTGTCCACTGTTCTCCAAAGACTGTGCCCTGGTGGTTAAGCAGAGGGGAACCTGCTGTGAACGATGCAAAGGTGCTGCTTTTCTTGGGTCTGTCTGTTTGGCCTCTGGAATGTTTCCTCACCCTTTTCTTCCCTCATTCCTTCTCTGCAGATGAGTTGGTGGTGGGAATTTGGGAGTGGGGAGAGGGGAAGGGGGGTTTCCAACTCCAAGACTCTGATCTCTCCCCCTATAAATGACTTTGTATTCTGTGCGGCCCTTGTATTTACTTATCAGCAGCTAGAAGAGAGAGCTGAAACTGGAGTCAGGAAGACCTGAGTTCAAATCTAGCCTCAGACTCTTACAAGCTGTGTTACTCTGGACAAGTCACTTACTTCAGTTTCCTCACCTGTACAATGGGGATAGTAAGAGCATCTACCTCACAGGATTTTTTTTTTGGTGAGGATCAAATGAGATAATAATTGTAAAATGCTTAGTTAGCACAATGCCTGGCATGTTGTAAGTGCTATAGGAATGTTAACTAGTTTATTATTATTGTTATTATTGTTGTTGTTGTTGTTGCATAAAGTTGTGCCGTCACCCTCTTCTCCACCTTTCCCCCAAGCAGCCTCTACTGTGACTGCTAGGGCTGTATCATTTTTATCTTTATCCCCAGCATCTTATTCACTGTTTTTTCAAGAGTAGGAGCATAGCAGATACCTGATGAATTGAACTGAATTGAATCCCCTCACTCCATCCAAACCATTCAATCATTCATTCAGTAAACACTTCTAAAAGCCTATGATGTGTCAGGCAAAACCAAAGATGTTTTTGCCCTCAGTGCACTCACATTCTGTTGGGGAAAATGACAAGTCCACACATAGCTAAACAAAAACTGGTATAAATTAAATAAATGCAGGATGGAGGCGAGGAGTGGGGAAAAGGGAGCCTCTCCATTATTGCTTGGTTCCTTTTCATTAACCAGTGCTTTCCTCTTGTCTTACCTTTACAAGGAAACTTTGGCATTGCCCCATTTCCTCCCTCAAAGCCAAATTCTTCTGCTTTTTCCTCAAGGACTTTCATCATCTGACTCTGTTCTCTTGATGCCACCTTATTCAACACTCACCCTTTATTCTGGTCCAGCTGGCCTTCTCACTGCTTCATATGCATGCAATGCTCATTGTCAGCCCTGAGCTTTTGTGAGTGCTCATTTCCCTTGCCTGGAATGTTCTCCTAATTAATGGTAATGATGATAATCATAATAATAGGCCAGGATACATTGATTTATGGTCTGCAAAGCACTTTAAATTCTTGTTCTCATTTGATCCTCATAATAACTCTAGGAGGATTTGTCATTATTATCCCCATTTTACAGATGAGGAAACTGAGGCTGAAACAGGTTACATGGTTTGTCCATGGCTCACATAGCTGTTGTGCATTGGAATGAAGATATGAACTCATGTGTATCCTGATTCTATGACTTGCCCTCTCATACTACTCTTATGCTACTGAGGTTTGGATACAGAGCTCCAGACTTGGAGGCAGAGGACCTGAATTCAAATCTTACCTTTCACTTCCTGTGTGACTCTGAGTGAGACACTTCACTATTCTGGGGCTCAGTTTCCTCATTGATAAATGAGACAGAATAGATGGTCTCTAAAGTAGGGCTAACTGTATGATCCTTTATAATGCTGGACAGTTCACCTGCCCTCATTTTTTTTTTTTTAAATCCATAAAACAAGGGGACTGGGCCAGATGATGCCTAAGGTCTCTTATGGCTCTAAAGCTATCATCCTATGATCTAAAATCTTTTCCTCATCAAAAACCAACTCTCTTGTTGTTGTTCAGTTGTTCAGTTGTGTCTAACTCTCCGTGACCCCTTTTGGGGTTTTCTTGGCCAAGATGCTGGAGTGGTTTGCCATTTCCTTCTCCAGTCTATTTTACGGATGAGGAAACTAAGACGGACAAAGTTAAGTGACTTGCTCAGGGTCACACAGCTCGTAAATGTCTGAGACTGGATTAGAACTCAGGAAGAGGAGTCTTCTTGGCTTAGCACTCTACTGCACCACCTAGCTGCCCAAATTCAACTCAGGTGATACTTTTTCCAGGAAGCCTCTATCCCTCCAACCCCTCCTGCTACCCCCCTTCCACAGATTTTTATGGCACTTCTAGTCTGTCCCACAGAAATGAACCTAAGAGGTGGAACAGATCTTAGGAGCCATCGAAGCCAACTCCCTTGGTTGTAGGTTGAGGCAATTGAGGAGAGATGGAACATCTCCCCTCATCATTACCAGTGAGTTCAGTCTTCACTAAGGAGCCCCAGGACCATAGATCCAGACCTGGAAGGGAAGTTAGTGTCTGTCCAGTCTAATTCTATCATTTTACAGAGGAAGAAACTGAGGCTCAGAGAGATGACAGGAATTAGTACGGTTATATAGCAGGAGTTCTAACCTGGGACCTTGCAATCCGTAAGAGGCCCATAGATAAATTTTGGGGTATCTATGAACTTGGATGGGAGATCCACACTACATCTTCATTTTCATGAACGCCTAACTCAGATTTAGCCCTTCCTTCAATTACTTAAGAGACCATTATTCTGAAAAGGGTTCATGGTTTTCATAAGATTGCCAAAAAATGTTCTATCACATTGGATCTTAGAGGTCATTTAATCCAACCTCCTAATTTTACAGATGAAGAAACTGAGGCCCAGCTCAGTTGAATTAATTGCCCAAGACGGCAGAACCAGGATCAGAAATCAGGTTTGTGACTCCAGTGTAGCCCTTTCCATAGGGCCCCTGCCAACTATGAGATCTTAGTCTTCTGACTCACATTCCAAAGTCCGTTCTCACCTCCTGCCATTGCCTTGTCTTGTCTCCTTCACTGGGGTGAATGGAAATCTTCTCTCCCACTGGGTTATAGACTTCTCCAGCAGAGATGCTACTGAATTCCTGGCATGCAAGGTGGAGATTGTGAAAAGGCAGGTTCAGACTCGAGGATGATCAAGGCCACCCTAACAATTAGAGCTGTTTGAATGTGGAATGAATGGGCTTCCCCTGGAGGGCATTGGGCTTCCCAATCCAGAGGTTGTGGCTGGATTCTGTTGAATAGGGAGTGACTCGGTCAGACCTGAGGAAGACATCTGAGTGGGGGATTGACTGGAGTGGAGAGATACTGTAGGCAGAGAGATTTACCAGTAGCTAGTATAAGAGTCCAGGAGGGGAGTGATAAGAGCCTTCACCTGGGTAGTGGCACTGTCAGAGGAGAGAAAGGGATTTATTTGAGAGATGTTGCAATGGATAGATCATTGGTCTTGAAATCAAGGAGATCTGAGTTCAAATCCTGACTCACATTCTCACTGCTTGTGTGACCCCATACAAATGGATGCACGTTGCAGGGCTTGCAAACCTATACACAATGCTTTATCTTTCCTTTAGGAAGGACAATATTCTCATCTATCTTTGCAGAGTTTTGGGGATAAAGGGCACATCTAATTGTACCCTTCAGAACAGACTCTATCTTCATCCTTGACCCCCTATCCCATAGTTTTATGTCGAGTGTTTTGTTGTTCAGTTGTCCTAGTTATGCCTGACTCTTTGGGTGACTCCATTTGGGGTTTTCTTGGCAAAGATACTAGAGTGATTTGCCATTTCCTTCTCCAGCTCATTTTGCAGATGAGGAAACTAAAGCAAACAGGGTGAAGTGACTTGCCCAGGGTCACACAGATAGTAAGTGTCTGAGGCGGGATTAGAACTCAGGAAGATGCTCATCTTCCTGATTCCCGGTCCAGTGCTCTGTCCACTGAGCCACCACAGGATTTCAGTGCAATCCTCCAATCACTCCAGCATTGTCCTAGGTCCTGGGGATAGGAAGACAATAAATAATATAACCGCTTGACCTCAAGGAGCTTATGGTCTAGTGGGAGCGTCTAATATGTCCAAATCATGAAAAACCCCTGAGCCTCAGTTTCCTTATCTGGTAAACAAGGCAATCTTTTGGACCAATTGCTACATTGTAGTTGGATGGATTTATTGAACTGCTCTCTCTCGAAGTCTGAAAATTATTTATATCAGTTCAGGGATATTAATGAGATTATGGCAGCCAGCTCTCTTTGTGCCCCCTGCTCTGGCTACCATTCTATCAAATGAGATATTTGTAAAGTGCTGGCACATAGCAGGAACTTAATAAATACGAGTTCCCTTCTCCTATTCATAGCTTTCCATTTTTTTCTTCTGATTGTCTCTTAGACCTTAGGATCCTCTAGCTTCCTTTGCATGGCTTCAAGGCTTTCCTCCAGGTTATTTCTGAATGCCCTATTTTCTGGGATTGTGGAAACAGGGAAAGAATGCTGGGCTCCAAATAGGGGGTGAAAGGAATCCATTCAAATACTAAATCTGACACTTGCTCTGTGATCACAGGCAAGCTACTTTACCTATCTGAGCCTCAGTTTTGTTCATTTGTAAAATAGGCACAATAATACTTATGGCATATACCTCATGGGGCTGTTGTGAGTGTCAAATGAGACAATCACACAACGTGTTCTGCATTCCTTAAAGTGTCAGGGAGATTTGAGGTGTAGTTATTCCCGCCCTCCCTCTCTTCATTTCACCTTGTCCAATCGACTTGATCATCCCATCTCCAAACAATTTCCCCGTTCACATTCTGTGCCCTGAGTGCTTCCCTGGCTGGCCCCTTCTCCTGTTCTCTTTTGCTCTCCTTCCCTATCTCTTCGTAGCTTCTCCTTTCCATCATTTTCCATAGTGATTAGCATAAAAACGAGGTTTAAGATTAGAATGCTTGTTATTTTAAGAAAGATTTTCTTTTCTCCTGAAAAATCATCATTTTAATTTCATTTTCAAAAGGTTTAACATTAGAAATGGATGTGGTTTTATAAGTGGAGATGACATTAGGGAGGATACGTTATCATCTGCCTTGCTGCCACACCATAAGGACCATGGGAATCTTTCTGATTTGCTATTGAAACCTCTTATAAGTGTTGTCTTCCTTTATTAGAATGCAAGCTTCTTGAGGGCAGACACTGAATTACTTTTCTATTTCTACTGCCAGTACCTATTACGATGCCTAGTACTTGATCAGT